GGTCCTCCTGTGGCCTAATATGTGAAACCATACCCTCCTACATCACATCCCTCTTTCTTCCCAAATTATCTGAAAACTACGGCCATCTCATTCGCAGCCAAGCTCCAAGGACTGAAACTTCTTCAATAAAGATGCTGTTTTAGTAAATGCATTCGTAGCAGTGGTTTCAAGTTAGAAAAATATAGATTCAGAAAAGATATAGGAAAGCACTGGTTTGGTAACAGAGTTGTGGATGAGTGGAACAAACTCCCAAGTAGCATCATTGAAGCTAAAACTTGTGTATTTTAACAATAGGTTAGATAAATACACGAGTGGATGTGAGTTGGACCTGCCTCACATGGGCCAGTAGGCCTGCTGAAGTGCTCCTTCTTTCTTATGTTCTTCAACATAAAGAGATGACAACATAATGAATGTATTATTATTATTATTATTATTATTATGACAAAATTATGAATTTATTATATTATATTGTTTATTATTTTTATTATTAACCCTTAAACTGTCCAAACGTAGATCTACGTTTTTTCAACATTTGAAAATATGTAAAAAAGTAGAACTTCTTTTTTTTTTTCATTTGAAAACTTGTAAAAAACCTTTGATCTACTTTTTTTTATATACATATTTGAAAATATGTAAAAAAAGTAGAACTTCTTTTTTTTTTCATTTGAAAACTTGTAAAAAACCTTTGATCTACTTTTTTTTATATACATATTTGAAAATATGTAAAAAAAACAGTAGATCTACTTTTGGAGCACTACGCATGTGAATGTAGATCTGCTTGGACAGTTTAAGGGTTAAAAACAAGCCCTTTATGGGTCATAGAGCAAATACTGTATGGGTTTATAACCATATAGTATTTTAGAAAAAAATGTGTGTGAAAAATTTTAAGATGTACTGCAAATGTCAAAGTAGTGTTGTATAATTTATCTTACAATAAATATTGTCAATACCTGACATTTAAGTTTCATTTAATTGACATCCACTTTCTTCTCAGGTTGCTCTACTGGTGATTGATGTAGTGCAGTTACTTCTCCATCCATCATTCCTCTCTCTCTCTCTCTCTCCCTTCCTCTTTTATTTTCACCTGTGAAAATGCTGTGAAGCATTTTTAATCTGTTTCAGATACAATTACACAGAACAAAAGGTAGCGTCATTATGTTTAAGATATTAGAACAAATCCTCCTTAAAATGATCAATCCTGCCGTTGTCTTGCATCACTACTACTACTAATGTATGACCCTTGTAGATTTAGTGTTTAGTTATGATTATAATAATAATAATACTAGCACAGGTCAGTAGGCCTACTGCAGTGCTTATGTTCTAATTTCAACTTTCACTCCATGTTCCATTTAAATACCTTAAGTGTTGTTGTGTTGTTTGTGCTGGTTTTATAAAGCTCTTCGAGGGTGAATTGTAGCTGTAATTTCTAGTTGCTCATGGCATTAGTCAGCAATTTTACCAATATATGTAGATTATGAACATGAGGCCCAAAACAAATCTTTATGGGATACCACTTTTGATTGGTCCCCATTCAGACTTCACTCCGTGCAATCACACTGCTGCCTATTAGTCAACTATATCTTTATTCACGAAACATTACTCCCATTTCCATGTGCTGCAACTTTAGCAACAGTAATTAGGACTAACCCATAGTCTGAGATTACCAGCCCATCTCATTAGCCACTTTAACAGTCTTAAGAATTTCTCAACCAGAATACTGGGAAGGTTGGTGATGGCCATTAACTGTGATCTGGTCATGAGTTTTAATGGAGAGCCCATGACTATGCTACAACCCCTCTTCAAGGGGGGCTCCTTGGCGTGGTGAAGAGGCTCTTGGTCTGAGGAATTAGACCTGTTGGTCTACTTCCTCAGACCGAACCTAATTACCCCCCAATCCCCCATTCCCTATCCCATCCTCCCCTTTTTCCTTTCCTCCTCCTCCTCCCCACCCCTCCCTTTTGCCCTTCCTTTTTTTTTTCCCCACAGGCACGTTAGTTCCTAGGTAGGGGAAAGGGTACCGGGGTCCATCCCATTCCGTTGAGGTTCTTGGCGGTGGCGTAGTTTGCCGTGGAATCTGGATTGCCTGGGGATGTCCTGATCCCTCTCCGGTATCCCGGAGGGTGGCTTTGGGTGTCTCTCGGGCGACGGGTGTATCTCTGGAAGCCACCTTTCGGATTCCGGGGGTGGTGGCCGAAGGAGGTATGCTTTGTGGCGGATTTCCGGCCGCCCTCTCTTTTTGTCCACCGAGGTAGCTCAGCAGATGTGAGGTTGCTATCCCGGATTGCCGGTTTACTGGCATGATGGGTAGGGTATGGCACGGGTTCCATGCTGCATCTGCGCTACTTGCGGTGCTGAGGTCCTCTTGGGCGCGGAGGGAGATTTCTGGCCCTTTCATTCCTCCTAGGAGCTATCCCTCCCTGGTCCCCCCTTTTTTTATTCTTTTTTTTATTTTTATTTTCTTTTCTTCTTTCTTTTTTTTTCTTAAAAACAAAAAGAAAGAAGTAACCTAACCATGGCAGCCCTAGCCCATGAACCTGCTACCCCCGGGCCCCTTCTTGATACCTCGCCCCGTTCTGACCCCGCTTCGTCTTTGGACCACTCTTCGGACACTCCTCATGCCTCTGTACCTCTTGCCAGTGCTGTTTCCTCACCCGCTTCAGGTACTGAGGCCTCGACTGACTCCTTCGATTTATCTGACCTTCACTCTCCTCTGACTATGCTTCCGGCCTCTCCCTCTACGGTGCGGCAATTTTCGAATCGCCGGCCCGTTCCACGTCGGACCAACTCTGGTCCCACGCTTAAACGCCAACGACAATTACCTGCTGATGATACTTCTCCACCTTCTTGTTCTTCTCAGAAAAGATCGACACGTCCTTCACTACCTTTCCACGCTCAGTTTCAGACTGCACAGTGGACTAAATTCTTCACTTTACAACCAACTTCCTCTACTGCCTATCTTTCTGACCACAGTATTGGCAAGG